GAAGAAGGACAGCTATCCCTTGTCAAGATTTGAAGACACGCTGGACATGCTTACAGGCGTAAAGTGGTTTAGTACGCTGAACCTGAAAAGTGGCTACTGGCAGGTTAAAATTGACCCTAAGGACAAGGAGAAAACTGCATTCTCCACAGGACAGGGTCTGTGGCAATTTAAAGTCATGCCGTTTAGATGGTGCAATGCTCTAGCAACGTTTGAAAGGTTGATGGAGCTTGTACTTACCGGGCTAATTGCCGATGCCTGTCTGGTCTACTTGGATGACATCATCATCGTAGGCCGTACGTTTGAGGAACACCTTCAAAACCTAAAATGCGTGCTCATGGAGATCCAACCTCAAGTTGAGTCCGAAGAAATGCTTACTATTCTTCATCATATTACTATTATTTCAGCGCAGTCCATCACCATCTTGAGACTGAAAAGCCGCATCTACATTTCTTGACAGAGAAGCAAATTGGATGTCCATTGAGTGCGGCGTACCTTGACTATCCTGGATTCTCCCTGGAGCACAAATTCCATACACGTGCCGGAGTATGTGTATACGTCCGCAATGACATCTGCTTCCAGCGTCTCTGTCACCTTGAAGACCCCACTTTTTCGACAAACTGGGTGATGGTAGATACAGGTATTGATAAAATCCTTTATGCCTGTGTCTATCGATCGCACAGCGGTAACCAGGAGACAACACGATTATTTGATTACCTTAGTGAGGCTGCTGACGTGGCCCTAAATCGGTATCCTACTGCACAGTTGGTCTTTCTGGGGGACTTTAACGCTTGTCACCAAGACTGACTGTTGCCATACCAAAAGACCGACCATGCTGGAAGAGAAGCGTGGAATTTTGCTTTGACACTAGGTCTTTCTCAGATGGTAAAGGTGGTGACTAGGGTACCCGATGTAGACAGTTACATAGCAAATTGCTTGGACCTTCTGCTGACTACCGAACCAGACAGACAGATATGAAGTAGTCCTTTGGGTACATCTGACCACTGTCTGGTGAAATCTGTATCGCCATATTCTCGACCTGATTACGAGTCCTAAGGTGTTCGACGAATATGGCGGTATAAGTCAGCTGATTGGGGTGCGATACGACACTTTTTTGCATCTTATCCTTGGCGAGAGGTCTGTTTCTCTTCTGCGGATCCGTCGAGCTGCGCGGTTGCGATAACGGATGTGTTGCGTCAAGCTATGGAGTACTTTATCCCCTTCTCTGACTCTCCCACCGATAGCAAAGCTCGCTCATGGTTTAACGCTGAATGCGCCGAAGCTGAAAAGCGCAAGAATTTAGCTTACCTATCCTGGGTTGTCGCTCGAAACCGTAAAGCTCCGAAATTAGCTGCAAAAAGAACTTTCAACCAGATCGCCAAGTCCTACAAAAAAGCATTACGGAAAGCTAGTCTCGATCGCGTTAAACATTTTGGCACAAAACTCTACCAGACCATCCGGCACTAGAGCTTTTTGGTCTCTCGCCAAAGCGGTCGAGGCAAACTTCTGTCGGCCTACACTGCCTCCGTTGGTAAAACCGGATGGCACACTGGCGCATATAGATAAGGAGAAAGCGGACTTGTTCGCGACCCTCTTTGCCTACAATTCACGTCTGGACAGTGGCAACAACGTTCCACCAAAATTACCTCACTGCGGGACCTCTATGTCGGAGATTCGTGTAACGAATAAGGAGGTTCTTAAAACCTTGCGGTGTCTAGACGTGAATAAAGTCAGTGGACCAGATGGTATACCAGCTATAATCCTAAAGGCTTGCGCACCTGAGTTGTCACCTGTGTTGACACGCTTGTTCCGCCTCTCATTTAATACTGGAATAGTGCCAAAATCCTGAAAGCTGGCCAACGTGCAGCCTGTTCCAAAAAAAGGCAGCCGCGCCATCCCTGCTGATTATCGGCCAATCTCAATGACCTCCATACTCTGCAAGATTATGGAGCGTATATTGAATGGCCGCTTAATGGCATACCTAGAACAGAATGACCTCCTTAGTGACAGGCAATATGGGTTTCGACGAAATCGGTCAGCTGGGGACCTTCTAGCGTATGCCACACACATATCGGGCGAGGCACTCGAGAACAGTGGGGAAGCACTTGCTGTTTCCCTTGATGTCTCGAAGGTATTTGACAGAGTTTGGCACACTAGCCTTTTGGGTAAGCTTCCAGCATACGGCTTATCCCCTGGTCTGATTGAATGGGTAAAAGACTTTCTGAGTGAACGGTCTCTCCGTGTCGTCGTCGATGGCTGCTCATCCGATCATATGGCGACTAACGCCGGTGTTCCTCAGGAGTCCGTTCTCTCCGCAACTCTCTTCCTGCTGCATATTAATGATCTGCTTATGCCCGGTATCTATGGGTATGCAGACGATAGCACAGTTGTTGAGAGATACCAACCAAGTCCTTGGGCCAGTCGGGATCAAATCCAGTCCGAAAGAGAAGCTATGGTAGAGCGTGTGATTCTCACACTACAGGCAGTCTCCGATTGGGGCGATGCCAATCTTGTGAAGTTCCACGCCTCCAAAACACAAGCGTGTCTCTTCACTGCAAAAAGGAGCCAGCTCACCTTGGCTCCTTCTTTCCGAAATGTATCACTGAAATATACCGACCGCCTTCAGTTGTTAGGTTTTGATATATCCTCAAATTTGAACTTCGGGCGGTTCATTGAGTCCAAGGCCAAAGCAGCTGGAGTCCTTTTTTTTTAATTTATTTAAGGCAACAAACAGTCATGTATAAAAATAGTAACATGGATAAATATTAATATAACCAAAGACCTATAGTGCCTTTAACTAAACTTTTACAATATTTTAAACTTCGTCGTCCTTGCAAAGGTGCGGCGATACTTCACGCCGGGACAGCTGCTTACTTTATATAAAGCGCAAGCCCGATGTGAAAGTGCATGGAGTATTGCTGCCATATATGGGCTAGTGCTGCAAAATGCCACCTAGCACCTCTGGACTCAATGGAAAGGCGTGCTAAGAAGCTTATTGGTGACCCGAATTTGGATAAAACCAATCTTACCAGCCTCGAACACAGACGTAAAGTAGCCAGCCTTTCGGTTTTCTACAGCATGCATTTCGGAGAGTGTGCGCAGGAATTACATAATTTAATTCCACCCTCTCCCTTCCACCATCGGACGACCAGACGTTCGGCCAGTCTCCACCCTTTCGTTGTTGACATACCACGCATTCGAACCAAACGGTTCGCCACGTCGTTCATCATGCGTACAGCAAAGGAGTGGAATAAGTTGCCAGCATCTGTCTTTCCATCCGATTACAGTGTGGGCGTCTTCAAGGCAAGAGTGAATAGGCTTTTGTTAAGTCAGTGCGCTTCACCATCTTAGGCTACATCACCACTTACCATCAGGTGGGATCTTAGATAAGCGCTGGCTTAGTAGAATAAAAAGAAATTCAAACGGCAAGTTAGCTTTTTGGGGTATGTAGTGTCGGAAGAAGGTATCCGCACGGAATCAGAGAAAATTGCCGCTGTCAAGGATTGGCCTGTTTCAAAAGACAAGACACAGGTTAGAGCACTTTTGGGTTTGTGCTCCTATTATCGGCGATTTGTGAAAAACTTTGCAGATATAGCCAAACCTCTGCACAAGCTGACCGAGGAGAAGCGACATTTCTGCTGGGATGAAAGTTGCGATATCGCATTCCAGGAGCTCAAGGACCGTCTGTGCAAAACACCTATTTTGGGGTACCCTGATGCGGGCAAGGAATTTATAGTTGACACAGACGCAAGTGATATAGGACTTGGCGGTGTTTTGTCTCAACGGAATGGTGATCAAGAGGTTGTGATGGCGTACTTCAGCAAGTCGTTGTCAAAGTCGGAAAGGAACTATTGTGTCACAAGACGGGAATTGCTTGCTGTGGTAAAGTCCTTGCAGCATTTTAGCAAATATCTTTTGGGGCGGAAATTCCACTTACGAACTGACCATGCTGCACTGAAATGGCTATTGCAGTTCGAAAATCCGGAAGGACAAATTGCGAGATGGATTGAACTACGGCAGGAATACGACTGTGATCGAACATCGCAGCGGGAAATCTCATGGCAATGCAGATGCATTGTCAAGAAGACCTTGCCCTGAAGATTGCAAGCATTGTACTAGGCAAGAGGGTAAGGAAGTTTTATCTGTGAGGATACTCAGGACAGACCAGCTCAGCAATGAGTGGAAGGGCAGCCTACAACATGCACAGCAGGAAGATTCGGACATCAAGCCGATTCTGGAATGGATGAAGGCCAGTGCTCCTAGGCCCAAGTGGAGCGACGTCTTAGCGCTGAGTTCGACCACGAAAAGCTATTGGGCCCAATGGGACAGCTTGCTGATTCAGGATGGAGTCCTGTGCCGTAAATGGGAAAATGGTCGGGGAAGACAGTTGTCATTTGCAAATGGTTGTCCCTAAGGCTAAAGTACCGGATGTTCTACAGCTGTACCATAATGTTTACCTGGGAGTTAAACGAACTCTACTGAAGATCCGAGAACGGTTTTACTGGGTCCACTATCGTGACGATGTCGAGGACTGGTGCCGCAAATGTACAAGTTGTGCGGCTGTAAAGGAACCTCAAACTCGTAGTAGAGGCGCATTGAAATTGTACAATGTTGGTGCACCATGGGAGAGGATAGTCATTGACGTTGCGGGGCCGTTTCCGGAAAGTGAAAGTGTTAACAAGTATTTCATGGTTGTGATGGATTACTTCACTAAGTGGCGCCTTTCCCAATTCTTTGCCATTCCAAATCAAGAAGCTTCAACAGTTACAGATAAACTAGTTCATGAAGTATTCTGTCGTTTTGGAGTACCTTTAGAGATTCACAGCGATCAAGGAAGGAATTTTGAGTCTGAAATATTCCAGGAAACTTGCCGAGTTATTGCATTATATATATATGCAGGGTACTCATAAAACAAGAACAGCTTCTTACCACCCACAATCTGATGGAATGATAGAACGATTAAATCAGACATTGGAGAGGTACCTAGCAAAAGTTGTAGAAAAATGGCAACGAGACTGGGACAGGCACATACGTTTTTATTGTCATATCGAAGCGCTGTTCACGAAAGTACATTAGTGACACCAGCTTTCGCAAACTTTGGGAGAGAATTACGGCTGCCTGCAGACCTGATCACCGGAATACCACTTGATGCCCCACGCAGTATAACCGATTGTGCAAAGGACTTGCGGAACAAAATGAATGACATTTATGAGCACGTCAGACAGTCGGGCCAGCAAACGTCTGAGAAGATGAAAACACCGTGTTTTCATGCTGATGGTAAGTGGTTACTGTGACCTATAGACATCTACATCTATCCTCAATAAAGACTCTAAATGTAGATGCGTTGTCACCCGTGAGGACTAAGATGGAATGCCTCTTGCCCAGTAAAAAGGGTCTCCGGTTCTCTACACTCACCGTACAAAACACAGCAGCGTTAACCTGCTATTTTACGCTTGTATTCTGTGAGAGCGTGGTCCTTCCCCGGACGAGCCGACCCATTCGTGCTACAACTATACTACTAATATAGCTGCAGCATGGCTCTACCACGGTACAATTGAGTTTATTTTAACTCATACCTTAAATTTCAAAAGGTGGCTCACGCATCCTCGAATGTTAAACTCCCAACAGAAAGCAGGAGTTGATATTTCAAAGCTAAATTTAGCAATAATTGAAGAAGATCCAGATCCTTTTTGCGCTTGTTTCGTAACCGTAGATGAAACGTGGGTACACTACTTTAATCCGGAGACGATAAACCAAAGCAAGGTGGAAAGATAGGAAAGACCGTCTTCTCCGCCAGCTAAGAAACTCAAGGTGTCTGAGTCAGCTGGAAAAATAATGAACTGTCTTTCGGGATGCGGAAGGTATAATAATGATTGACGTAAAAAAGAGACAATAACCGGAGATTATTACGTATCATTAAACAAAAAACTACGCGGAGAACTAAAGAATAAACGTTGAGGAAAATTGCGTGCTAGAGTGCTTTTTCATCATGATAACGTTACTGCCCATCGATCAGATTTTGCATTCAAATTTTTCTTGTTTTTTTTAGATTTTATGTTTTGTTGATGCAGCACCCACCATTTTCTCCGGACCTAGCTCCGAAAGATTTTCACCTTTTTACTCATCTAAAAAAGAACTTGCGTGATATAAAATTCGACGGTGACGAAGAGGTAATGTGTGCTGTAGAGGCCTATTTCGAGTCACAGAATCAATATTTTTTCCAAGGGAATTAACGAACTAGCAAAACCCTTTTCAAGGTGTTTTAGCTTAAAAGGTCATTACGTTGAGAAAGAAATACAATTTACATATACTTATCCTAGAGTTTCATTCCGTTTTCAAAAACTTATAGAACAACCAGTATAATATTTAAAAATATTGGAATCTGATAACCAATAATATAATATAAACTCTCTGAACAAAATTAAGCTATCGCTGCATTTGAAATTATATTACAAATGGACGGAGTAGCGAGTATGTAAGCCATCTACTGTCTAGAATGTAGGCAATTCGAATGCAAACAGTCCAATACACAAAGACATCACACAATCTGGAATATATGAATGAATTAAAAAGAAAGTTTAAATTGCTTCGTTAATTGAATAGTCTGCGAATGATCATTTCACTAAGGCGTGACAATAGAACTAAGACAATAGTTGTTTATCTTCCCTTTAGTCACAGTGCAAGTGCGCAGAATGTGAAGTGCGTGCTCGTGTATTAAGGCTTGTGTGAATGCGAACGCGGCAGAAGCGGAGATCGGGGCGGGCGAGTGGGAGGCATGGGAGGAGTGGGGCTCGGAGGCGACGAGCGCGGCGGACTCGGAGGCGGGCGCGGAGTTGGCTGCGGAGACGGACGAGGAGGCGGGCGCGGGGGGCGGCGCGGGCTGGGCCGGCGCGCTGCGCGACCGCCTGCTGTGCGCCGTGTACGCGCGCCTCTTCACCTGGCTCGTCAACACCGTCAACGACGCCATCAAGGTGCGCCACCTTCGCCACTACTGTTTCCGCTATGCATTATAGTTCTTTCAATAGATCAAATCGATTTTTAGAATCGCTATTTTGCGATCGATATTTTTATAGATTATTTTTCGTTTGTTAATTTTACATGTTCTGTATAAAATGTCAAGATTAAATAAGTGGGTTTTTCAATTATGGTGGAATGTAGATTCATAGGTAGTTGGTTCAGATCCATACGTACATATCCATAAGTACCATAAAGGATGTAGGGACACACACAGTTTGTAATTTCTGTTACTTTAATTAATTGTGTAGTTCTTTTACTCGAGGAAATATATTGTAAAGTAGGTTACTAATTCATCATCGTTACAGCCCTTCACAAGCCCACTATTGAACTTAGGTCTACCCAAGGAATGCCACAGAGCACGGTCCTTACCCATCTGTATCCATCGACTTCCTGCATGTCTTACCAGGTCGTCACTATATCTAGTGAGGGTCGCTTCACCTACTGGTACGAGGCTGCTACTCTGCTGTCGCTATCGGATTGCTCGGAGCTATTCTATATATACTGCTTTTATTCAGAACTTTGATTTAGACTTCGATGTGTTTCGCTTGTGGCGCGTCGACAGCTTCGAGTTATATGGTGAGCCCATTGCTTTTTCCGTTGGGGTATGTCGGTTCCTCTGGTTCTGCTGCGGATACCCTCAATTCTAAATTTTTCACGCAGAAAAACGCCGAGCATAGCCCCCTCCATAACTCGCTGAGCGACCTTAAGCTTTGAAAGCCGGCATTGAAAGACCATGTCTCAGATCCACAATTCATCACTGGCAACACGCACTGGTTGAACAATCTTGTTTTCAAGTTTTGAGGTTTACCTGACGAGAACATGTGTCTTCCCTCTCTCCCGAACGCTGCCCGGCCGATTAACCTCTTGGTCGAAGTTAGACTTACCAAGAAGTTGCTATGGCTTTTTAGAAACATTTTACTGATGTTCCTTTTTTGACAACAAAATCATTAAATTCTTCTCCTACTGTCGCCAAATCATTGCTCAAACAGAATGTAAAGGTTTGTTCAAATACTTTTAAATTCCATAGAGTACTGCCAAAAGATATCGTTAAATATTTTAAAACTATTGATGTTAAAAAAACGGCAGATTTATGGGGGATTTCCGTTAAAGTTATTGACGTGACAACGTCTTATAATTCGATGAAGCTGGCTGCATGCACGAAAAAACATGACTCATGCGGCGTTACCTCGCTTTGAGGCGTTACATTTAAAGTGCAAGCGAGAGCGCGGAACGAGCGACAAAGAGGCACAATCGGCCTCCGCGTTCGGCATGTCCGCATGGACAGCTGCTATACAATAATACATTTACATGTTTTCGTCAAGTATGAAGTGCAGTGAAAAGTGAATGTGGTGTTAATTGTTTATAGCAACGATAATTGCGGCGATAAATGTAATGACTCTTTCGATATTAAATATTTCTTATGACGTTGTCACGTTCAACTATCGTCAGTAAACCGACTTTACAGACAACCGATTTTTTTATCTATAATAGATATAATAGCACCTTATCTAGCCACTATATTTAATACAAGCGTCGAATCTGGTGTGTTTCCTGATTAAATGAAACCTAGTAAAGTCATACCTATATTTAAATCTGGTAGTACATTAGACCCCGCCAATTTTAGACCAATTTCTGTAGTACCAACATTTAGTAAAATTTTTGAAAAAATTGTTTTAGATCAGATGTTTCTTTAATATTAATAAATTCCTACATAAAAATCAATTCGGTTTTACAAGGGGTTGCTCGACAACTGACGCTGGAGTTGAGCTTATTAAACATTTTTTTTGTGCATGGGAGAATTCAGAGGATGCTTTGGGTATATTTCGTGACTTCGACTGTGTTCACCATGAAACATTAATCAGGAAGCTACAGGACTATGGTGTCAAGAACACAGCGCTTAAACTTATTATTTCATATTTAAGTAATAGAAAGCAGAAGGTTATTATCAATGGTAAAAGTTCTTCCGGGTCACCTGTACTAATGGGTGTCCCTCAGGGCTCGATTCTCGGCCCATTCCTGTTTCTGGTGTATATTAATGACTTACCTTGTAGGGGATAGTCATGATATAGTATTATTTGTTGATGATACTTCCTAGATTTTTAAACTTAAACGTCAATCATTTAAATGTGATGAAGTGAATAATGCTATATCAAAATCAGTGCATTGGTTTAACGTTAATAATCTGCATTTGAACGGAAATAAAACTAACTGTGTTAAATTTACTACAACGAATGTTAAAAATCTGAATACCAATGTGTTTTTAAATGGGGAGGAACTGAGCCCTGTTGTATCCACTGTTTTTCTTGGCATCACTCTCGACGCAAAGCTTCAGTGGGGCTCCCAAATATCCAAATTAGCAAGCAGATTAAGTTCTGCAGCCTATGCTGTAAAAAAGATTAGAAGTCTCACTAGTGTCGAGACAGCTAGATTAGTTAATTTCAGTTATTTCCATAGCATAATATCTTATGGGATTCTGCTATGGGGAAATGCGGCTGATTCAGAAACAATTTTCGTTTTACAAAAGAGGGCCATTAGAGCTATTTACAATCTAAAACCGAGAGAGTCTCTTAGAGATAAATTTAAAGAAATAAATATATTAACTTTGGCCTCTCAGTACATTTACGAAAATTTAATGTATGTTCACAAAACAAAGGTAGTTTTAGTAAAAAAAGTGATATACATTCTGTAAACACTAGGAACAAACACAAGCTAGTGATGCCAGTTTCTCGACTCCACAGAGTCAGTAATTCACTCTTGTGGCAGTGTATACGCTATTACAACAGGGTCCCGGAAAGTGTACAGGCTCTCTCTATTACCAAGTATAAATGTTTTATTAAGCTGAAACTGTATAAAAAGGGTTATTATAGTATAAATGAATACATGGTTGATAATAACCCCTGGGAATGAGGTGGTCGCTTCCAAGCAGTTTCTAAAATAAATTTTGTAAATAGTTCGTAATTATTTATATTGTAAAATTTATTTTAAAAAAAAGTCCCGTTGGGTTTCTTGCTGGTTCTTCCCAGGACAGAGGGTTTTTTTTTCGAACCAGTGGTAAAGTAAAAAATTACTTTCAATAAGAATTACACATATAATGTATATTGAATAAAAAACTATTCTATTCTATTCTATTCTATTACTATTCTTAGATGGACTTGGTATGGATGGACGTGGTAGAGCCATGCTTTACGTGGTAGAGCCATGCTGCAGCTATATTAGTAGTATAGTTGTAGTACGAATGGGTCGGCTCGCCCGGGGAAGGACCACGCTCTCACAGAAAACCAGCGTAAAATAGCAGCTTAACGCTGCTGTGTTTCGTATGGTAAGTGTAGAGAACCGGAGACCCTTTTTACTGGCAAAGAGGCATTCCATCTTAGTCCTCAAGGGTGACAACGCATCTGCATCTTGAGTCTTTATTGAGGATAGATGTAGATGTCTATGGGCTACAGCACCCACTTACCATCAGGTGGACTGTGTGCTCGTTTGTCACCCTATACTATAAAAAAAAAAGACTATTTGGCCCAGGTAAACATATTCGTCAACAACTTTGGGCTTAGCGCTAGCAACAACTACCAGCATAGGTGTGACATGGATGTTACACATGATCTTTGTTTAGTTCATGTTCCTCTTAAGACCTATCCGTTCGGAAGCACTATTGAGGTCATTAATCATAGTGCTTAGGTCCCCCAGCGATTCTGCCATAAGGACTATATCGTCGGAAAATCGAAGGTGAGTGATGTACTCGCCATTGATGTTAATACCGTATCCTTTCCAGTTCAGAAGCTTGAAAACATCTTCCAATGCAGCGGAGAAGAGTTTCGGGGATATAACGTCACTATGTCTTACACTTCTTTGCAGTTCGTACTCTGGTTCTGTTCTCGGATAGTTATCGTAGCCCTATTATACAAACGCTTCAGCACTTCGATTTTCCAACAGTCAACTTGGCACCGACGAAAGGACGACGGAATCGAAGGCTTTCTTACATAGTCCACATGCGCAAGACGAAATGACATTGTACTCTCCGGACTTCTGTACAATTTGCCGAAGGATATGTATGTAGGGTATCTATGGTGCCAAAGCCTTTTCGAAAACCGGTATGTTCGAGAGGCTGGAAGTCGTTGAGTCTGTGTCATAAAGACTCGAAAACCATTCACGTCGATTCGGTCTCTAGTTCTTCAAATGCGTATTGTTGTCTTTCTTGAAGAACAAGACGACTATTGCTTCACGCCCCCGGAGTAGGGTCACCATGGAGGTCGGAATTAAAGAGCTTCTGAAGTTCTGGTTTTCCGCCCGCTTTCAGAAGGTCCGCCGTAATTCCATCTTCACCCGATTGCTTTGCCATTCTGAAGGTGCTGGAGAGCCATTGCAATCTCGCTCAATCTGACGTCCGTGGTATCATCGGAATAGTTTCGGATAAGACTTGCTCTTAGATCGTTACTCACGCTTGCGTGTGGCTCCAATGATGACGTGTACAGCTGCCCATAGCACCTCTTAGTCTCACTCAAAATCACAGGTGTCCCGTAAACGATGCTGTCACATTTGGTCTTCAGCTTTGACAGTTGGCTCCTTCTGGCAGACAGATCTCTGGCAAGGACGAAATTCTGGTTCCGATCGTTTGCTTCTTCAATACGAGCTGCCAGTTTTCACCCTCGCGATCACTGAGACATCACTAAACAGTGGCCGTCTAGTCGTCATAATGAAGTCAATCTCATTTTTTGTCAAACCTATTCGGCTAAGTAGGCATTTAAAAATAATGTACGTTCCGTACAAATTCCAAAAAAAAAAAACTTAAAGACGCTGCTTCGAAAATAAAGCAAACAGATTTTTTTTAGACTATGTGACAAACCAGCACATTAAGGTTGGGGAAAAGTTTCTTTGTATTTTATTTAAAAATCCGAGACCTTTTATTCAAAGTTTAATTACATTTAATTAAAATATATGTGCGATTTTGTTTGATAACTTGTTGCTCATTATATTTTAATCTTGTAGGTAGTGACATAATCCTGTTACTGTAGAAATCTTGGTATTTTTGATCAATGAAATGCGACAAGTAGTTTTGACAGTACTCTTGATGTTAACCTAACACTACCCAAAGAATTCTGAAGAGACCGAAACAGTTGAAAGTCTGATTGTGCAAGGTCAGGACTATATGGTGGATGCATTAACACTTCCCAACCAAGCTCTCTCAATTTTCGCTGAGTAGCCAAAGATGTGTGTGGTCTGGCGTTGTCATGATGAAAGACCCTTCCTTTTCTGTTGATCAATTCTGGCTGTTTTTTCTCAATTTCTTGCTTGAGTCTCATTAGTTCTTGACAGAGATCCGAATCGATGGTTTTGCCCGGCTGTAAAAGCTCATAATAAACGATAAATTTAAAATCCCACCATACACACAGCATCACCTTATTGCGTGTTAGTCCGGGTTTCGCTAGTCTGTGGAGCTTGACTACCCTTTGACCATGATCTTTATAGCTCGTTCTTGTCGTAGGTGACTCACTATCATCGCCAGTGATCAGTTCAAAAATGGTTCGATTTCCTTACGTTTCAATAGAAAAATCATAAATGAGTACACGATTCATTAGGTTTCTTTCAGTGAGCTCGTGTGGTACCCAAATATCGAGCTTTTTTGTACAGCCAGACTTTTTCAAATGGGTTAAAACTGTTTATTAGTAAATCCTCAATTCCAAGGCTATGTCGTAACTACTAATATGCCAATCTTAATCAGTCAGAAAAGAATTGAAAAATGGCGGGAAAATGTTTTTTACTTTTTATTTTATTTTTCTTAATGTCCTATAAGTACTGATATTAAAACCAGCCAGATACAATCAGTGCAACCAAAGATTTTTCTTCAATTTTATACAAACAAAATACGAAGAAAAATTTTCCCCGACCTTTTAGTTTACCTGATGATAACTATATGTTGTTGCCCATAGACACCTACATCTATCTTCGATTGTCATACCTAAGGACTGTTGAAATGCCTCATTTCCAGTGAAAAGGGTCTCAGATTTTCTACCCTCACCATACAAAACATAGCAACACAACGCTGATATTCTGTGAGAGAGTGGTTCTCCGGATGAGCCGATCGATTAGTGCTGTAGCTATAAAATTACTAGAGTGCACTCTACGACGTAGGCAAACCGATTGTTAAAATCTGAGAATGTTAAAAATAATTAATTGCAATTTTAAGTACTAATTCATAACAACATGGTCCGTAGAAAAGAAAACAACCAGAAAATAAAAAATGAATAAATTTTTGGGGGACATGTAAAGTTTGGGACAATATATATTTTTTTTCTTCTTAGGATTGAGAAGAGCCTTGTACTGAATAGTGGGACATATTTAAGCTGTTACTTTAGTTTTTTTTTTTAAGTACAGATAAGTACAGAGACGGTGTTGGTTGTCTGATGATTAATTTTGTTGCGTTTAGTGATAAGAATTGTTAGGTGCTAGAATTTTTTCTGTCTAGAAGTCCGTTTGAGTACATACCTCTTTTAGACTTATTTTGTCTATAAGCAGCTAAATAATCGGACAGACTTTAAGACATTCTATTTTAGTCTTCAGAACGAAGACGCATTTGTAGAGTTCTTTGTTTAAAGTTGGTTGCAGGTTTGTAGGATGTAGTAGTACTTTTATATAAAAAGTAAATTGTTTGTTGTAGAAGTAATAAGATATGTGTATGCGCGCGGATGCGTGTGGGTGATACGGGTGCGTGCGAGTGCGCGTGCGCGTGTGCGTATATGGGCGTTTGTTTACAAGCGTGCGTATGTACGTGCGTCCGTTTTGTGTGTGTGTGTGTTTGTGACGTGTATGTGTGTGTATGTTCAGCCGGCGGTGCCGGGCGCCCGCAGCTCGCTGGGCGTGCTGGACGTGTACGGGCTGGAGTCGCTGGCACACAACGGGCTGGAGCGGCTGCTCATCAACTACGCCGCGGAGCGCGTGCAGGCGGCGGTGACGGCCGCCACGCTGCGGCGCGAGCAGGAGGAGTACGTGCGCGAGGGGCTCGCCTGGACGCCGCTGCCCTACACCGAGCACGACCTGCACGCCGACCTGCTCGACGCGGTCAGTGCAAACTACTACCGCTTCTATATCACTAACTACTGCCTGACACGCGTGTGATACGCAACGTGTTCAAATGTTCATTTGTCTTATTTTTAATTCTTGACGTCTTAAGTGTTTTACAAGCCGTTACTCCATGATTCTCGATGTTGTAAACGTGGTTTTACGTGCGTATTTGTGTAAATATAAGAAATTATAATGTTCGTTTAGATAAGATTTGAACATGACAAGAATTATGCTATTAGTGATATTAAGACGAGTGCATCAGTTAATTATTACTTACACATCGAATGTTTTCTCTTTAGAGGATAAACTGGTGCAAACAAAATGTTCTTACTTTTCAAAATTTAGTTATATTAGACAAAATAATGTTAATCGTAAAGCGTTTGGTTGACAAGTGAGATGACATTGTGAATTTGCTTTGAGAAGCACATGAGCGCCTGCTGACGAGCTGAAGGCAAGCGGCTGAACTCATTCGCGCATTTCACACTTAAATCACTTCAGGCATTAAGCCTGAACATCGAAGGTTATATTGTCATTGTCAACGCGTTTTTGATACTGTAAGCTAGGCTATCCTCAATATTATTGCATAATCGGTACATGTCCATAAAATTTCAATTTAGTATAAATTACATATACAGGGTTATTTTTCAAAGAGTAACCAAATTTTATATTTAAGTTCAAATAGATAAATTATTAGGTATATACCGATATTAATATTTTTTTTTATACGAGTATATAAGGTTTCTACTTTTATTTGAAATTATCCCAAATTGAATGTTATTTATGGGCAACAACCACTCTTTCGTGTGCTCCTGTGTGTGTGATTCAATTCATTATTTTTTAGTTTTCTAATTTTCTTAGTGACACGCTTAATACTTATGCTTAAGATAATAACTCCATGACACGAATTATGATTCCAATTTTTCTTTTACACTTAATCGTCATAATAAATCCCGCAACCGGGGGCTTCCGAAGACTGCCGAACGGTAAAATAGACCGGGCCATATATTCTTTATGCACAGACGAGCACGTTTTATTAAAATATATTTTACACTTATCACCTGTTTTTGAGCACTTTTAATTTCCGTGGATGTTACTGTAGCGGTCTTCATAACTGTTACCTTTTTATACACAGATAAAAGACTAACGGTGAAAATTCCGACGAGCTTGCATATTCATTATTTAAGTTATCGCTCACTGCACTTGAATAGTTAGATTCGATTGGTAGGTTAATTACTACACGTATGTTGATATCTCACCGCGGTAAATACTCCCTTTAGTATCTATTTAACAGTGGTAGAGCTAAGCGGTAGCTTTTGCTGTCGCACGGATGGGCCAGCTCGAACCGGGGTGGTACCACGACCTCACAGAATACCAGCATGAAGTAGAAGTTTACCTCTGCGTTGCGCTTGGTGAGTGTTTTGGGTCTCCGGCCACCTGGCCGGAGGCCCAATCCCCCCCCCCCCCCCCATCAACATGGTAGTGGAATTAACTAAGAGACTACCCCAGGAGGGTACCAGCACCCCTGGAGAATCCCTCGCTGAGCATCCACGACCAAACTACTTCACTCCTGAGCGTGGGTGCTCAGGCTGCCCCGCGTATTCGGGGGGGGGGGGGGGGGGCAAAATTCCGCTCGCGACTAATGCTGCTCGGGGCAAGCGGAGCAATGCAACCAAGGCGACCCCTGTCACGCTATCTGTGAATTTTTGCAACATCAGGGGACTTCATTCCAACCTTAACGCTGTCCATTACCATCTAGAGACGGCGAAGCCGGCCTTGCTCTTTTTAACCGAGATTCAGGTGTCCTCTCCGGCTGATACTTCATATCTCTCCTACCCGGGGTACAAATTGGAACACTCCTTTGTGCCCCGGGCAGGAGTTTGCGTATACGTCAGAGAGGACATCTGTTTTCGACGCCTCGGCAGTCTTGAAGGTACGGACCTGTCCATCCTATGGCTGCGCGTAGACAGCGACGACCATCCCCGCGTCTACGGATGCCTCTATAGGTCCCGTAGCGGTAATGCCGACACAGACCGACTCATCGACCACGTCCAAATGGCTACAGACTCCGTGCTACAATAGGTCCCATCCGCAGAGATCGTGATACTCGGTGATTTTAACGCCCACCACGCTGAATGGCTTGGTTCTCGTTAAACCGATCACGCGGGTAGATCTGTCTATGACTTTGCTTTGGCATATGGTTTAACACAACTGGTTACTTCGCCTTCGCGGATCCCAGATGTGGAAGACCATGTACCTTCCCTGTTGGACCTTCTGCTGACCTCTCATCCGGACGGATATCAGGTCTCCGTCGATGCCCCTCTGGGCTCTTCGGACCATTGTCTGATCCGGAGTACGGTGCCACTCACGCTCCAATCGCAGTCGCGATCTGCAGCTTGGCGCCGTGTTTGGCACTATAGGTCAGCTGATTGGGACGGGATGCGGTCTTTTTTTGCATCCTACCCTTGGGGGCGGGTTTGCTTCTCGCCGGAAGATCCCAGCGTTGTTGCCGATTCTGTTGCTGATGTGGTACTTCAGGGTATGGAACTTTTTATTCCATCCTCTGTGGTGCCCATCGGAGGCAGATCCCAGCCATGGTTTGGTCGCTCCTGTAAAATAGCATCACGCTATAAGCAGGAGTGCTACCGGGCCTGGGCTGACGCATCAACGTTTCGGGATGTAAACACCAGCGCACTTAAAAAGAAGTATAATTCCGCCTCCAGGTCCTTCAAAAGCGTCATTGCCAAGGCAAGGTCTGAGCACATCGGCAGAATTGGCGAGAAGCTAGTTCGCCTTCCTTCGGGAACCCGTGCATTCTGGTCTCTCGCCAAGGCTGTCCAAGGGAATTTCTGTCAGCCATCTCTTCCATCTCTGCACAGGGAGGACGACTCACTGGCCCATGCCGCAAAGGAGAAAGCCGATCTGTTGAGCCCTTTTTTTGCGTCCAACTCGACTCTAGATGACGGGGGGAATACACCGCCGACCATCCCGCGATGTGAGTGCTCCATGCCGGATGTCCGATTTACACAGCACTCGGTTCGCAAAGCACTCTTCTCCCTGGACGTCAGCAAGTCGAGTGGGCCCGATGGAGTCCCTCCCATTGTGCTGAAGACGTGTGCTCCGGAGTTGGCACCGGTTTTAACGCGTCTTTTCCGGTACTCCTACTCCCAAGGCGTAGTCCCAAATTCATGGAAGACAGCCGATCCCTAAAAATGGCGACCGCTCAGACCCGTCCAACTACAGGCCTATTGCCATCACCTCCTTGTTCTCCAAAATAATGGAATCCATTATAAACTGCCAGCTCATGAGGTACCTTGAGGATCACCAGCTAATTAGTGACCACCAGTAAAGTTTTAGTCGAGGTCGATCAGCTGGTGATCTTCTAGTCTATTTGACTCATAGATGGGCGGAGGCAGTAGAGTCCAAGGGGGAGGCATTGGCCGTTAGTTTGGACATAGCAAAAGCCTTCGATCGGGTCTGGCACAAAGCGCTTCTTTCGAAGCTTCCTTTCTATGGGCTTCCCGAGAAATTGTGCAAATGGATCACCAGTTTCCTTGCTGATCGGAGTATCAAGGTCGTAGTAGACGGTGCATGCTCTGATTTCAAGCCTATCAACGCTGGTGTTCCACAAGGCTGCGTGCTATCACCAACGCTGTTTCTCCTGCATATCAATGATATGTTGCTAACTGGTGCTAACTGGTAGCATTCATTGCTATGCGGACGACAGCACTGGTGATGCCTTATATACTGGCCGTGCCAATATTTCTCGGGAAAACGTCGCTGAGTACCGGGACAAACTTGTGTCTGAAGTCGAGTCTTTGCTTAACAAAGTCTCGGTTTGGGGCCGACTAAATCTAGTCCAGTTCAATCCCCAGAAGACACAAGTTTGCGCGTTTACCGCTAAAAAGAACCCCTTTGTCGTATCTCCTCAGTTTCAAGGCAGTCCCCTTGCTGCCTCAGCTAGTATCGGAATCCTTGGCGTCGACATATCGAATAGTGTGCAGTTTCGTGGTCACTTGGAAGGGAAGGCCAAATTGGCCTCTAAAAAGCTTGGCGTGCTCAGCAGAGCGAGACAGTATTTCATGCCGGCACATCGCTTGCAACTTTACAAAGCGCAAGTTCGGCCCCACATGGAATACTGTTCTCATCTCTGGGCCGGGGCACCCCAGTGCCAGCTCCTTCCACTTGACCGCATCCAGCGCAGAGCGGTTCGAATCGTTGACGACCGAGTTCTTTCTGATCGGCTCGATACACTGGCACTGCGTAGAGATGTGGCATCTCTTTGCGTATTTTATCGCATCTATCACGGGGAGTGCTCTGAGGAATTGTTCGGACTAATTCCAGTCGCTCAATTTCACCATCGCACATCGCGACAAAACTTGCGTTACCATCCATACCATCTGGATGATTGGCGGTCCACCACTGTGCGATTTAGAAGAAGTTTTCTCCCTCGCACAACTTCTTTGTGGAATCAATTACCACCAGCGAATTTTCCGGACCGATACGACTTAGGAACCTTCAAGAAAAGAGCTAACACCTTTCTAAAAGGCCGGCAACGCATCTGCAATTCCCCTGGTGTTGCAGTTGTTCATGGGCGGCGGTAGTCACTTACCATCAGGTGAGCCGCATGCTCGTTTGCCCCCTCTTCTATAAAAAAAAATAGTAATATCGCACCACGGTTCGAATATTTTCGTTACATCATTGGTAACAAAGCGTACGTAATGAGGTCACGGTCAACATTGTCAGCTGTCGGCCGGGCGAGCACACACTGTACAGACTTACGGTGTAACTGTAGAAGGATGCAGGAAGACGCGCGACAAAGTACTTTATCTAGCGTAAAAGTTTACGAATATGTGCGTGCGAGGTAAAACCGGTTAAAATAATGCATTACCACGCATTTTGAATTTAAAAGATAAAAATGACAGAAAGTTTGAGATCTTTCTATTAATCTTTCTTCACCGTGTGGCTATATCACTTATTCTGAACCTTCTCTGCAAGTTTGGCTGGTTATTGCAAAATAACCCTCTGTACTGAATATTTGTTTTTCTGATTCTCTGATCGAATCTGAACTATCGATAATTTGTACGGCATGTTCATAATCGTGTGATGATTAGTATATAGTTGTGACCACCATTTACTTTGGCGTTCACTAGTTTAATATACTTACCTAAAATATATAATTGTAACGCTGCTCTCAGCTTGCGTATTATAAAGTCGGGGAAAAAGTTTTTTCGTATTTTATATAAATATCGTATTTGTTCAAAGTTTAATTACATTTAATTAAAATATATGTGCGATTTTGTTTGATAACTTGTTACCATCTTATAGGTAGTGACATGATTATGTCACTACCTATAAGATGGTAACAACCGTTACTGTTTAAATCTTGGTATTTTTGATCAAAAAAAAAAATGCGACAAGTAGTTTTGACAGTCCTCTCTTGGTGTTAGTGGCTTGTGTGGCTCGACGCGTGGGCGAAGGGAGTTGTTCGCAGGCCGCGGGGCGGCGAAGCCGCGTATCTAGGTTATCGCGGCCGAAGTTCACGCGACCGTTGTAGGGTCCAGATAGTTAGATTTAGGCGTGTACTTCTCTACGTGGATATGTGAATTTTGCAATATTTAACTTGTTCGGGTGATGCGGATCGGCGCGCTGAGTAGATATACGGTCCAGGATTCGAACCGCGCATTCCTTGGTCGAGAGCGTCTCCAGGTTAATTGTATGGAATTGTATATTAAGAGATCGCTTTAGTTCCCTATTTGTAATTTTGTGATAAGTGCATCCGGGACATTGAATGTCGAATTTCGAACTACTGTCCTTACTGTGTCGGGTATCACGTGTTCGATTCTACGATGAATGTGGAATTAGGCGAGATGTACAATGAAGCTGATGCACTGAAATAGTGACAATGAAGAAAGAAATGGTCCAGCGGTGGAGCCTGCTGGAGCGATGCAGCATTGTGGGGCATCCTGGAACTCGGCCGCTGCTGGTCGCCTAAGGTGGTCAAGGTCTCAGACATTTACACATCACTGAACACTACTTGCCATTCACCTTACACCCACTCACGGCCTGACCGAGCCTTGGTGCGAAATTAGCTTCTGATACTGGTACGTAATATGTGTTTCTAGCATTCTCCGATATAGCTTAGTGTTATAGGAAATTCTTCCATGTGGCCAATCGGGCCCGACCTGCGTCTGCCCGTCGAGGAAGCTGCTATGGGCCCCAGCCAAGACGACATTTGCATGGGCTGCTGTAGGCCATAACACTAACACTACGCAAAGAATTCTGAAGAGACCGAAACAAGTAAAAATGTGAGGGTGCAAGGTCAAGACTATATGGTGGATGCATTAACACTTTCCAACCAAGCTCTCTCAATTTTCGCTCAGTGGCCAAAGATGTGAGTGGTCTGGCGTTATCATGATGAAAGACCACTCCTTTTCTATTGATAAATTCTGGCCATGTTTTCTCAATTTGTTGCTTGAGTCTAATTAGTTGTTGGCAGTAGAGATCCGAATTGATGGTTTTGCCCGGCGGTAAAAGTTCATAATAAACGATGCCCTTCTAATCCTACCAAGACGCACAAAATCACCTTTAACAGTGGTAGAGCCACGCGGCAGCTTTAGCTGTCGCACGGATGGGCCTGCTTGAACCGGGGTGGTACCAGCGTGAAGTAGAGGTTTACCTCGCTTGGTGAGTGCAGGTGGCCGTAGGCTCCATTCCCTCCCCCCTATCAACATGGTAGCGGAATTAAATAATAGACTACCCCAGGAGGGTACCAGCACCCCTGGAGAATCATTCGCTGAGCATCCACGACCAAGCTATTCCACTCCTGAGCGCGGGTGCTCAGGCTGCCCCGCGTATTATTGGGGGGGGGGGGGGGGGAATTCCGAATAATAAATATTAATTAATAAATAAAATTCCAATAAGACTAAGGCGACCCCAGTCACGTTATCCGTAAATTTTTGCAACATCAGGGGACTTCACAAATTAGAACACTCCTTTGTGCCCCGGGCTGGAGAGATAAGGATAATAGGTCGGAGAAACTTTTTCCCCGATTTATTATTAACACATATAGTACGGTTCGTGTATGAAGGCCACCTGTGGCAGTGGCACGTGATTCTTTATCATGCGCGTATATGTGAGTGTGTGGGTGCGCGTGTGCAGGGCCCGGAGAGCGTGCTGGGCGCGCTGCGGGAGTGCAGCGCGCGCGGCGCGGGAGGCGACGCCGCCTTCCTGCAGCGCCTGCAGCGCCTGCAGCGTCGCTGCCACCCGCGCCTGCTGGTGCTGCCGCCGGACCGCTTCCAGTCAGTGCACGAGACACTACTCATAATATATTTTTTGTGTAAGGTACGTGAGGGTAATATGGAATTAAACTTTACCGCCTCTATGAAACCAAAATTAGGAGGAGAATGAATAGAGACAAAACATAGATAATATAATGAATAAATTTAAAAAAAAATCAAGTTTTGGCAATAATTAGCAACACTTTGAAATATAAACTAAAAAAAATGTCAACTGTTGAAATGGCGTCGATAAAGCAACGCTGACCTTTTATTATTTGATTGATTCATGAAGAGCTATCGTATTTACAGAGCCATCTATGAAAATAAGGTTGTACTTTTTGAGTTATAAGGCAAACCATATTAATTGTAAGACCATATTACCCTCATGTACGTTATTCAATACTATTTGTATGCCTTCGTCCACTTTAAACTTTTAAGTGTTTTGTCGTTATTTATTGATACTGATAGATTTACATAAGGTAGCGAATATTCATAAAACTAAAAACAGTTGCAAATACAAGCAAATAACTAATAAGAAATTTACGACAAGAAATTAACAAAACCAACTTTACGTTAGCGGTATCTTGCTTAGGTAAAAGTTGTTTACGATGAATAACGTATTTTGACACATTTGTGAAGCTGTAGTTTTGAGAATAATTAGGTTTTTCTAGTATTGTGTGGGTACTGTACATATATAAATTTGTTAAGGGTAAAGATTCAGACCTGAAACAATTATTTATAGATTATACAAGTGTTTGTTCTGTGTGGAATTTGAGCTTGTGGTTTTCAGTGTTGTAATTTATTGTTAGGTTGGTGCTACTTAGCCGTCAAAACTTATTTAGTATACTTGTTTGATAGCCTCGTTAGTTTAGTGGTCGTAAATGCGGCCGTTAGTCACGTGATCTTGGGTTTGGGTCAAAATTATTGATTGGGTTTTTGTGACAAGAAATTTTCAGTAGTAGTCTGAAGTCAGAAAGTTGTCAGTGTTTTGCTCCCGTGGCTACGGATAGCACGTAAAGTCCGTGGGTTCTACGCGTGATCTCTTTTCGGTCGTGTTGGATTATCGTTTCATTAGATTTTGAAAGTGAGGGAATAGAGAGTGCACGTGTGCTTGCGCTATACTCGGGCACTTTTAACCGTGTGTTGCGCAGATAGGTGTATTCGGTTGAGACATGCTGGTGTGACGTGACCATGTGTAGCGTGTAGCGTGCGCGTGCGCAGGGTGGTGCACTTCGGCGGCGCCGTGGTGTACAGCGCGCGCGGTTTCGTGCAGAAGAACCGCGACGTGCTGTGCCGGCGCTGCGCGGCCGTGCTGGCGGGCGCGCGCGAGCCGCTGCTGGCGGGGCTGTTCGCGGTGGGCGCGGCGGGCGCGGGGGGCGTGGCGAGTGCGGGGGGTCCCGCGGGCTCCCCGCGGCGGCCGTGCGCGCTGGCGTGCCGGCAGCGCGCGCTGGTGGGCGCGCTGGTGCGGCGGCTGCCGGCGGCGCCGCGCCTGGTGCGCTGCCTGCGCGCCGACGCCGCGCTGCGCCCGCACCGCTTCGACGCCGCGCTGATGCGCCACCAGATACGCACGCAGGGGTACCCGTGATCTTGCCCTTATTCAATATTAAAGCATGCTACTAACACCCACATACTTCCACAAACGCACACTCACATTTTTAAATATCCATTTTGTTCATATGCTTAAACTATATTTTTTCAATAAGAAGACTATAATTTTCTTTAATTTAAACCTTAGTGAAAGTTGAAAAGCTTATTTAATTATACCGTAATTTTCTAATAAATAAATCCAATAGGATCTCTTCAACGTATCAAACAACAACTAGTCGATTGTTGACGATAACCAAATCTGTACGAACGTCAAAACTCCTTACACCATTATGGAGCTTCCCTGAAAACTCACTATTATAATATATTTGTGTAGTGGTAATGGGTAGAAATTGTTCTCCTCTTTTTTCTTCATACCCGTTCTCACACGTCTGATGCACGTAATGTAATCCTACACTCATCTGTATACAAAACTTTAGCTCACTACTCGTGAGTCCAGTTGGCGTGTTCTCAAGCAAAACGAAGTCTTACTACTCGATGCTAAACCACTACCGAATTTCAACTGCGGTGACGTAGTAATTTTGCAAAATTTTTAGGACAATGAAGTGATCGTCCCGGGCTGACGTACATCTTACACCTCCGCTGGTTTGCGGGTGTAGCTGCCAGTCTCTTGGTATCGTTTTAAAACATAGTACAATGAAAAATATGGTACATTAAGTGTTACGGCCACTACACGCTGTGTCTGTGCTGTGCTGTGTCAACCCTTGGTTAATTAATGCTACGACTTGTGCTATTTAAGCATACAGGGCATATTTTTTAGTTTTCTTGCTCCTTTAAATATTGGATTAAACGCATAAAAACATAAAAGTTAAGTAACCGAACGGTACACATTTTACAATCCTTTTGAACGACTAATTTGTATTTTTAAATTTAAACATTCAAGTTAATTGTTTAAATGAGCCGATTCAAATAAAGCTTAAAATAAATGTCACACTGCACTCAAACATAGTAAATTACCTTCTTGAACTCATCGTAAATATTGTTGACCTTTCTTCTCAAGAAATATTCATTATAAACATTTACAACTTTGTTATGGCAATATAAGGGTCAAACCAAGTTTCCGTACCGGTAAATACACGAAATAATGTCTTAATGGTTTATTTCTTAATATTATTCACATTTTTTAATATTAAAAAAAAAATCTATTTTTATCATTTCTGTAATTTGATTTATTCGTTTCTAATCCAATTAATATAAAATATAATTAATATTGCATTAAGAAAGTGTGTGCCATGTACTGTCAAGTATTTAACCTCATTCCTTAGTAGCGTCGCCTTGGTGGCAAAAAATCGTGGTTATCGATACAATAGTATAGAGTCAATAAAGTGAGCTCGTTTGTCTTTCATTTAAAATATAACGTTTAATATGCATGTAGCGGCGGGCAGAGGTTGTTGGTTGTAGTAATGAGCGTAGGATGTGGTTGGGTGCGTGTGTGTGACGAGTCGCGCGTTGTGCCGCAGCATCATGGAGATGGCGCTGCTGCGGCGCGCGGGCTGGTGCGAGTCCGCGTGCGCGCGCGCCCTGCTGGCGCGCTACTCGCTGCTGGCGCCGCCGGCCCCCCGCGCGCCCCGCGCCCCCCGCGCTGCCGGTGCCCCCCGCGCCTCCCGCGACCCGCGCGACCCCCGGGCGGTGGACGCCGAGCCGGTGCTGTGTGCGCGCGCGCTGCTGCGCTCGCTGCCGATCCCGAGCGCGGAGTTCGCGTACGGCCGCACGCGCGTCTTCATACGCAGCCCGCGCACGGTCAGACTGCTACCTGCCTTCACTTCTTTTTATACAATAACTGTGACGAACGACCACACAATCCACCTGATGGTAAGTGTAAGCTATAACCCAAACACATCTACATCTGTCATCGATTAAAAATCAAAATTCAGATGCGTGTCACCCCCGAGGGTCAAAATGGAATGCCTCGTTTCGAGTAAAAAAAAGGTCTCCGTTCTATGTCCAGGGTTTCCAGTAAAAACAATCATCATACGAAACACAGCAGCATTCATTGGTTTTCAAAAAGAACGCATTCCATTCCAATCCGCCGACTGTTGTTCTATATACGGTGACAAAATACAGACCGCAACCTTAATGGAAGTCCTCCGTATTCCGGATCAGTCAAAGGTCCGAAAGGTTCGTCCAGAGCTAAGAAGGTACCTGTTTAGGCCAAAAGTGGTAATTTTGAGACGGCACCGAATCACGATTGACTTAGCAAGTCGCCCGATGGTACCAGGCGTCACGCGTGTCGCGGGGAGGGGGCAGCGGAAGGCAGCTTCCCGGCGTTTTGGCGCTGGCGGGCGAGAGGCAGTAGCTCGCGGGCAGCGGTACAGTTAATTAGCGTATCTCGGTTATCACTGCAGAAGTTTCGCGCAACCGGTTTTGGTTTATGGTCTAATATTTGTGCGTGTTACTTCGCTATGTAATTGTGGTTTCGTGAAAACCGCCTCGGTTTAGTTTGTCTAGGTTTTAAGTTCGTGACAAGAGGCTTGTATTGTTATGGACTGATTAAAGTAATTTCGTTTGAAAGTAATTGTGCAAATTATATAGTGATTGCGTGTTGAAGTAAATTTTGCAATATTTAACTTGCTCGTGTGACGTGGAATTTCGCGCGCGCGCCAAGTAGATATACGGTCTAGAATTCAAACCGCGCATTCCTTTTCGAGGGCCCCTGCCGGTTGATTGTTTGGAAATCATGGTTTAATTATACCGTCACGTTAAGAGCCTTTTGTGTGTCGACTCGGTAGCTAGTTAAGTGTCAGCTAGGTTGATTTTGAATTCTTATTGCGGCGTGGTGTTTAATATCGAACGAAGGAGCTTAGTTGTGTTTGTAACGCTGAACCGTGTGACTCATGAAGAGATCGCGTTAGTTCCCTATTTGTAATTTGGTGATAAATGAATTCGGGACGTTGAATGTTGACCTTTGAACTACTGTCCGTTACTTATGTTGGGTATCACGTGTTCGATTCTACGATGAACGTTGAATTAGTCGAGTTGAAGTTAGTTAAATGTACAATAAAGTGGATAGACTGAAATAGTGACAATGAAGAAAGAAGCTGTCCATTGTGGACGCCTGCTGGAGTGATGCAGCATTGTGGGGCAGCATGGAAACCGGCCGCTGCCAGGTCACCCACATATACACACCACTAAACACTACTTTACATGCATTTACTCTACCTACGGCCTGACCGAGCCTTGGGGCGGTCTTAGATTCGGATACAAGTACGTACCAATTATTTTCCTAGCCTTGTCCTTATTTTGTAGTATGATAGGTCATTTTTCCATAAGGCCACTTGGGCCCGAACCCTCGGCTGCCCGTCGAGGAGGCTACTATGGGCCCTAGCCAAGGCGATCTTTGCAAGGGCAGCTGTGGGCCGTAACAGTACCTGTTACTCTTCCGGATGAAAAGATGTACAGAAGTTCCAACAGGTAACGTATAATGTGGGCTTCTACATCTGGGATCCGCGTGAGTGAAGAAAGCAGTTGTGTCAAGGCAAAGTTAAAATAGATTTACCCACATGATCGGTTGAACGAGAATTGAGCCATTTGGAATGGTAGGTGTTAAAATCGCCAAAATCGCCAAGAATCACGCTTTTTGCGAATGACATTATTGTTGTGGGACCTACAGAGAAACCCCTAGACGGAGACGGAGATGGTCGTCGTTGTCCTGTGTGATTGATCTTCAATACTGCGCAGGTGTGGGAGCTGGAGGCGCTGCGGGCGGCGCGCGTGCAGCGCCTGGTGGCGGCCGCCCAGCGCGCCTGGCGCTGCCACGCCGCGCGCCGCCGCCTGCGTGCGCAGCGCGTCATCGCGCGCGCCTGGCGGGCGTACCGGGTGCGTGTCACTGTGTCACTGTGTTACCGCACACATGGGAGCTAAATCACCTTTTCTTGATTGAACACCACATTTAATGATGTATTTGTTTGTGCAGGCAAGGAGAGCACAACAGAAGTCGGAGGAGTCGTTATTTGGACGAGTTGCGCAGGTAACGTCACGTGGAGGTGCGTACGGCGCGGCGTGGGCGTGGGCGGCGCGCGTGGTGTGGCGCGCGTGGTGCACGTGGGCGCGGCGCCGCTACCTGGCGCAGCTGTGGGCGCGGCTGCCGGCGCGGCACCGCTCGCCGGCGTGCGGCGCGTGGCCGGCGTGCCCGGCGCCGCGCCTGCTGGGCCGCGCGGACGCGGCGCTGCGCCGCCTGCACCACCGCTGGCGCTGCCGCCTGTACCGCGCCGCCTTCGACCAGACGGCGCGCAACCGCATGCGCGAGAAGGTCACCGCGAGCGTTCTCTTCAGGGATCGCAAGGTGCGTGCGTGTAACACTGCTTGTACACTGCTGCGCTGCGTAATTGCGCCCACTCACTTCACTACACCGAATGTCTTGACTCAATTCTTCGAAATGTTTTGACGCATAGCGTATGACCATGACCGTAAAATTCGAAAGATATCAAGGCCTTGAATTTCCCACAGAATACAAAAGAGTGTTATGAAACTAGTTTTTACAGATTTTATCGCGCGTATTTTAACTTATTTTATACTACCGACATTTCGAGTACTTTATTTATATTTTTTTTTAAACCACGGCTACCTCCAGATTAAAAATTATTAAATGTTGTTCCGATCTACGCAGTATAAACTTACAGGTTCTAGAAGTCTTGCAATTGATTTAATTTTATTAATTATAGGATTCCAAGCAATTGGCAGCACCCAGACATCTTCTCTATTAAAATTAGGATGTTTTTTTTATTTTAATAGCCTCGCGAATCATCGTTGGAAAGAATCGGTGTTCTTTAGCGAGGATTTGTGGTCTATCGAAACAGACCGACTCATCGACCACGTCCAAATGACTACAGATTCCTTGCTACAATAGGTCCCATCCGCAGAGATTGTGATCCTTGCGATTTTAACGCCCACCACGCCAAATATCTCGGTTCATGTTTAACCAATCATGCGGGGAGATCTGTTTATCCACTTTGCCTTGGCATATGGTCTGATACAATTGGTTACATCGCCTACACGGATTCCAGATGCGGAGGATCATACACCTTCCCTGTTGGGACCTTCTGCTGACCTCTCATCTGGTCGGATATCAGGTTTCCGTCGATGCCCATCTCGGCTCTTCGGACCATTGACCACCAAGGGAATTTCAGTAAGCCATCACTACCATCTCTGCACAAGGAGGACGACTCACTGGCCCATCCCACAAAAGAGAAAGCCAACCTTTTAGACTCCCTTTTTGCGTCCAACTCGACTCTTGATGACGGGAGGTACACACCGCCAACCACCCCGTGGTGTGAGTGCTCCATGCCGGAAGTGCGGTTCTCACAGCGCTCGGTTCGCAAAGCACTCCTCTCCCTGGACATCCACAAGTCGAGTGGACGGGATCCCCCCAATTGTGCTAAAGAAGTGTGCTCCGGAGTTGGCACCGGTTCTAACGCGTCTTTTCCGGTACTCCTACTCCCTAGGCGTAGTCCCGTAATCATGGAAGACAGCTTTTGTCCACCCGATCCCTAAAAAAGGTGACCGCTCAGACCCGTCCTACTACAGGCCTATCGCCATCACCCCCTTTGTTTACACCACTATATAGGCTGCACTAAAAGTATCGGGAATGGAATATTTCCACTGTTCCTGTCATATTAAAATCTTTTTAATTGAATACTCCTTGGTTTTAAAAATCGAATACCATTTATTTATTTAAAAAAGATTCTCGGTCTTGTCACAAGGTTTTGTCAAACTTGTTTAGTCGTTGAGAGAATGGAATTGACTCGAGAAAATTGAAGAGCGATGATTTATTATGACTTTCGAAATGGTTTAACACAAAAACAGTGTGTTGACCGGATGATGTCTGCATTTGGTGATGAAGCCCCATCCAAAACCACAATTTACCGCTGGTTTGCTGAATTTCAATGTGGACGTGTCAAGCTCAGTGATGATCCCCGTCAAGGTCGTCCAAAAACTGCAGTCACCCAAGAAAACGGTGATGCTGTGCGTAAGCTGATTGAGGAAGATCGACATGTGACATACCGCGAAATTCAGGCAACTTTAGACATTGGCATGAGTCAAATACAAATAATCTTGCATGAACAATTAGGTGTAAAAAGTTGTTTTCCCGATGGATACCGCATTCGCTCTGTGAAGAGCAAAAAGCGGCTCGCGTTACTTGGTGCATCAGAACTCTTGAAAGATTCCACGCAGGATCCTCAAATGCTGTATACAACATCGTATAAGGTGATGAATCCTGGATATACGCGTACGAACCCGAAACAAAAAGCCAGTCACGAGTTTGGGTGTTGGAAAATGAGTTAAAGCCAACAAAAATTGTTCGTTCACGCAGTGTTGCAAAAAAAAATGGTGGCCACGTTTGTCTCCAAAACCGGCCATGTTACGACTATTCCTCTTGAGAGACAAAGAACGGATAATGCAAAATGGTATGCTAGCATTTGTTTGCCACAGGTCGTTTCTGAACTCCGTAAAGAGAACTGCAACCGCCGCATCATCCTCCATCACGACTATGCGAGTTCTCACACCGCACACAGAACAAAAGAGTTTTTAGAGCAAGAAAACATAGATTTATTAGACCATCCGCCGTACAGCCCTGACCTAAGCCCTAATGATTTCTATACTTTCCCTAAAATAAAGAATAAATTGCGTGGACAGAGATTTTCATCACCTGAAAGAGCTGTGGACGCCTACAAAACGGCCATTTTGGAGACCCTAACTTCCGAATGGAATGGTTGCTTCAATTATTGGTTCCATCGTATGGAAAAATGTGTCAAATTTCGCGGAGAATACTTCGAAAAGCAATAAATACATTTTGAAATAGTAATGTTGTGTTACTTCCTTGATTCCCGAAATTTTCAGTGCCGCCCTCGTACTTATTTTAAATTAAACACTGCACATAAAATTTTTTGTAATATTTTATTTGTTGAAAACGTCACTTTGCTTTTTCTACATATTTTTCATAAAACATTCTAAATTAAAAACTCTTTCCACTCGTGGCGCCAACTGTCGTTCGTCATAAAAACTAAACTTAATCGTCTAAACATTCCGGCGCCCAAGGACTAGTAGTCCTTAAAAATTGACATGGAAAGATAACATTCAAGATAAAATATACTATTTCAATCATAATGTACAGTTTTAGGATGCGTAAACTAATTTAAATATGTGGGAAGAGGACAGATTTTTGTGATAGGTCTTTTAAAAATATTATTTTTAAATTGCAAAGTAACTATTCTAGTAAAACCATCCTTTCCTGGATGCTTATCTAAAATACGACCTAACAGCCACTTTCCTGGAGGAAGCCTTTCATCCTTAACTAAAACGACAGTACCAATTTCTGGTTCATCACTTTGATTTGACCATTTGTAACGATGCTGAAGAGTTGTAAGGTATTCTGAACTCCAACGAGTCCACAAATTATGTAACATTCGCTGAAGTAGTTGCCATCGATTTAGATAATTTTACATTTTCAAGGTTTTCCTCTGGGACAGTGATAGGTGTCTCTCCAATCAAAAAAATGTCCGGGTGTAATAGGAGAAGCGTCATCAACTGAACTACTTATAGGAGTTAATGGTCGCGAATTGACACAAGATTCTACTTGAACCAAGAACGTGGTATACTCTTCAAAAGTTAAAAGTGTCTGTCCAATAACACGTTTTAAGTGACCTTTCACGGACTTTACACCAGCTTCCCATAATCCACCACAGTGTGGAGAACCTGGTGGGATAAAGTGCCAGTTCGTGTTGTCATTAGCTAAAATTTGAGTGATTTCCCCTACTACAGTAGACTTTCTGTTTTTAAACATAGAATCAAGTTCCTTAGAGGCACCAATAAAGTTTGTTGCACAGTCGCTCCACAAATCACTGCAATGTCCACGTCGAGAAGTAAAGCGTCGAAAAGCTGCGATAAAAGCAGCGGAGGTTAAGTGACTCACTAATTCAAGATGGATAGCCTTCGTAACTGTGCAAACAAACAGACATATTATATAGGCTTTACAAGTTTTTTTACATCTGCCAGGATACAATTTTAAAGTAATTGGGCCAGCGTAATCTACTCCACTGTAATGGAAAGGTTTACCTGGAGTAACACGCGAAGAAGGTAGTTGACCCATTAATTGGCTAATCGGTTTAGAGGAATATTTAAAGCAAGTGAGACATTGTCGAATAAGTTTCTTAATTAAATTCTTTGCGCCGATTATCCAATACTTGTTACGGACTATATTTAGTGTAAGCTGAGGACCTCCGTGTAATGCTTGAAGATGTGAGTCTCTAATAACTAAATTTCTTAAATGACATTTAGATGATAACAATATTGGAGTTTTAGCATCATCACAAATTTGAGCATTACGCAGTCGCCCTAAGACTCTTAAAAGATTATTTTTATCAATAAATAGCGATAAAGATGCAAATTTACTTGTTTTAGGTAATTTACTTCCTTTACTCAGTATTTCCATTTCCTTTGAAAAATAAAGTGTTTGTGAAATACGAATACATCCTTTACAACTTTTCTTCATTCTTGAACAGTCAAATACTGAGTAAATGATGTAGGTTGTGATTTCTTTTCTTTTGATTGAACTTTAGTTTTACAATTCTCAATAAATCTTAACATATAAGCTGTAACACGAATAAGCTTTTGTAATTTTGAATATCTGTTAATATAAGGAAGAGTTTCCACACCTTGAGTTTTTTTATCAGTATGTTCCGAATTTATGTTAACATTAGTATGCACTGTTTGTTTTATTTCAAGATTAGTGTCTGGTATATCAACTTGTGGAGTGGAAATACTTTCTCTTTGACGTAGGAACTTTGGTCCGTGCTACCACAAATCTAAATCTTTACAAGCACTCGGTCTAATGCCTCGCGAAGCGCAATCAGCTGGGTTATCTCCCGATTTGATGTGGTGCCACCGATCACTACTTATTACATTTATTATCTCGGTTGTTCTATTTGCAACAAAAGTTTTCCATACATTAGGATTCTTTTTTAGCCAAGACAGAACAATAGTAGAATCGGAAGCATATATGGATTCATCATTAACTTTGAAACTTACTTTTACCTCTTTGATCAGCTTGACTAATAGAACTGCTCCACAAAGTTCCAACCGTGGTAATGAAACTTGTCGCACGGGTGCAACTTTAGTTTTTGCAGTAATAATTGAGACAAATACATTTTGTTTAGTTAAAACTCTCAAATATACAACGGCTGCATAAGCTAAACAAGATGCGTCGCTGAAACCATGAACTTCAAACTGTTCTGAACCATCAACAGTAATATGCATCCATCGTTCTAAATCTATTTTACCCATTTG